GCTGCCGCTGTGCGGGGATGGCTCGAGGGCGGCGGGGGCCGCACGCAGGAGGAGCTGGAGAAGGGACAAGGGGTGGCACTGGGGTGTAACGCGGTCCCCATGGGCACAAGCCCAGCTTGGTCCTGTCCCCAAGCTGCAAAGAACTGGGAGTCTCTCAGCCGGGTGCTCCCTGTGTTGTTGCACAGCAAAGGGGAGCTGGAAACAACCGCGGGATGGGGCAGGTGCTGAAACGCCTTCAATTAAAAGAGCAAATGCGGAGCAAGCACCAGGTTTCAGCGACTTTGGAGCCGCACGCGGAGGGGCTGAGCTGTGGGACGGTTGCAGTTGCTCACGGTGTGAGGAGGCTGCTGGTTGCAGGCACAAGGGACCAACGCTCAGGGGAAAAGGAGCAGGTGATAGTCAGGGTTTCCTCCACCCTAATGCAAGATGCAACGGGTGCAAGGAGCCGGGTGCTCCCACCGGGCACCCCAATTGCAGCGTGTGCGCCAGGGGCACGATAGCAGCGTGGGGAGTGCGCGGGAGGACCAGCCGCTCGCTGCCGCCAGCACCAGGGTGGACCAACTTACCCGTACTGGGACACTGAATCACGGTGCAAAAATAAAATACTGGGGCTTGCTAATTACTGCTGGAATCCTGTCCGGCTGGTTGCTGAGCCATCGGCGCCGCACTCTGCGCCGGAGCAGGGCGCTTCCCAGGCCACCTCGCTGGATCCAAGCCCATGAGGGATGCAGGGGACACCGTGACGCTGGGGACAGAGCCCGGGGCAGCCCCGCAGGGCTGGAGCTGCCGGGAAAAGGAGATGGGAGATGCAAAAGGTCCCTCGGCAGCAGCACAGCCAGTGCAAGGAAGATTTGGGAATGGGTTTCCAATCCCATCTCTATTCCATGCAAGCGCTTCCGAAAAGCGCTTTAAAACGAGCTGTGTTGCCTAAGCCAGCGGCGCTGGGAGGCTCCGGCGGAGCGAGGGCTGCGGCGGAGCCGGCGCGACGGCCGAGCTCCCGTGGGCGCAGCCGGGGCGCGCGGCTGCAGCCTGCAATTTGAATGGCTTTGATTCCTGCGGCCCGGCATGCTAACGAAGGAAGCTCCCGTGGGCGAGGGCTAGCTGGCATTTGCCTGCGTAATTCCCTGCATGGATATTTTTCCTGGTGTGGGGTGGGGGGGGGATGCAAATGGGCCAGTTTGACCCGGGTCTTTCTACGAGTCACTTTGCACAGGCTGCGACATTGGAGCTCTGAGCCCAGTACCAGGGTAGGCTCTGAGGTTTCCTTGACGCTGGGGCCTGTGTTTTTGATGCCGACTCTCTTTGCAAAGCAAATGCAATGAGAACATCCCTGGCTCTGGCCCCCAGGGCAGCACCCATGGGTGCCAACCCCTCTGTGCAAGCACAGGGCTTTCAGGGGGTTCCCTTGGGTGGCTGCGCCCCATGCAGGGCTCAGCCCATGCATTAAATGGAAAAAATAGCTCCAAAAGGGAAAAAAACCATCCCCCTTTCAGTGCCTGCAACAACCGTGCGCTTCCTCGGTGGCCGGGGGTGTTTGCACAGCTGGCTGGAAGTGGTGGCGAAGTGACTCGTCCCGGGGGACGGAGGATCCGCTCGGGAACGCCGCACGGAGCTCCCGGCTCCGCAGCGCTGCTGGAGTTCATCCCACCCCGCTGCAGCGTCGCATCCTCTGCGCATCTCCCTTAGCCCTATTTTAAGAGCCAGAGCGCTTTCATGTGGGCCGATCTCCTGGCATTTCCTTCTAATTTAGTGTCCAGAATGATCGTGGGGACCGTTCGGGGCTAGTAATTATGGCCGAGGCGACGTTTATAGAAGCAGTGTGTGCACAGGGCCGTTTGCAGTGAAAATGCCCCCAAAAATAACCCATGGGATGAGTGAGCGCCGGCCGGGAAGCCCAGAGGTGCCGCAGCTTCCCTCATCATGCACGTACTTATAGATGGGTGTGTGTCTGGGCTATATATAAATAAATATATATATATATATGGATTTATATATATAGCTATATTTAGGGGAGCTCGGAGCATGCTCGGGATGTTGGGACGGGAGCAGCATCCTTGAGGAGGGCAGATGCCAAGGGAGAAGGAAGCAGAAGTGCTTGGGTTGGGTTTTATTTTATTTTAGCATCGCCGCGTCCGCAGCCCGGCTCGTCCGCCCACAGGGAGCTGCGGCTTGGGCCGGGGGCGGCCCGTCCGCCCACAGGGGCCTGCGGCTTGGCCCGGGGCTGATGGAGCCTCCAAAACCTTCTCCTGCTGCTGCTTTGGGATTTGGGGGGAAAATATGGACCACATGCCCATGTGCAAAGCCTTCGTGCAGGCAGCCCCTGTCCCAAAGCCTTTGAGAGTCTTTTTTAATGCCAAGACAATGCAGAGCCCGTTCGTTTTGCCCCTGCCTTTCAAAGAGGCTTTTCCCCTTTCCAAAATTCTGGATTAATAGCCACAAGAGCAGGGATTGCTCCAGGTTTTCAGCCCAATTTGCAGCAGGTTGGGTTGGTGAGGAGCGTGGCTTCCCATGGGCTTGTTGGCCCTTCCCATTGCCAGGCAGGTTTGGCCAGGAATCCCCCGGACTTTCCTCCTTGGTTATCCCTGGTTTTGCTCCCCATTTCTGGAGCATCTTGGCCACCTCCAGAGAAGACGGGGCCCTGATGGGTCCCCTTGTCTCTCACAAATGTCCCTGTGGGTTGGCTGAAGCTCAGTGGTTGGGCTCAAAGCTGAGGTTTCCCCACGGATCCGTCCTCTCCCAGTTAACTTCCCACAGGGTGGAACATTCCCGGCCAGGGAGAGGGTCCCACTGCCGGGCTGTGTCCCACAGGAATTCAGCCATGTGTCCGGCTTGCGGCTCAGCTACGGCAGATGCGACATTTTCGGGTAAAACCTCAGTAATTGCAGCTGTTTTGGGTTTCCGGAGCCTGTGCTTGTGTGAGTGAGATGCCGCTGCCGTCCCAGCTGCATTGTGCCTGCAAGTGCAGCATTCCTGGTGGGAATGCTGTCCATGCCGGGATGCGCATGGGGTCCTGGCGGGATGTGGGTCCCAAACCCGGGGCAGGAGGAAGCTGTGGCCGGGGGTGCCCATGGGGACGGAGCCGCATCCGCCCAGCCTGGGCTTTTTATAAATCCCGGCTTGCGGCGAGCCCAGCGGCTGCAGGGAATGAGCTCCTTTTTATTAAAAAAAGAAGAAAAGAAAAAGGGAAAAGCCCCACAGCTGCACAATTAAATTCCCGTCACCGAGTTTGCAGGGATGAGCCGCTCATTCCCCATGGGTGCTGCACTGCATCCCCGGGATCTTCATGGAGAGACAGAGAATTTGGATTTATTATCATTTGTTTTTTTCCCCTGGAGTCAGTCAAAAGTTGCGCTAACAAAAAGCTGCATCTTTGGTTTGGGAGAACCAGAAGACGCCGGGGCAGCTTCGCGGCTTTAATGCCGGGAGCGGGAGGAGCTTTAGTGGCTTCAATCCCCTTCAGCCATGGCAGACGGGAATATTTTTAAAGCGTAATTTGATGAAAATAATTACATAGTATAGACACTGGGTGGGTACGTATTACCATAAAGAAACACAGTGTGTCTTTGTTTGATGGGCTTAATTTAAATGTATTAAAAGAAAAAGATCACACGTTGTTTCCGCTTTCAAAAATGCCCCAGATTCCTGCAGAAAGGAGCAAAAACGGTTTGGGCTGTGTCAGGCGGCGGCTCCGGAGCGGGATAAGGTGTCCCGGGAAGGGGAGATGGGATTTTCGGGGTGCGGAGCGGCCGCCTGACGCTGTCCCCCCGCAGTGGAGCAGGACCGGGACGTGTCCTGGCCCAGGCCCTACTGGAAGGAGCTTCGCTTCGACCTGGCGCAGATGCCCCCGGGCGAGACGGTGACGGCGGCCGAGCTCCGCATCTACAAGGCGCGCGGGGGCAGCCGCCCCGCCAACGGCACCCTGCGCGTCCGCGTCTACGAGGTGGCCGCCGCGCTCGCCAGCAGGGGC